TCATGGAAAAAAATTGTTTCAAACAACTAGGTACTTCAGATTTATCAATGATCAAATAAGCCCAAACTGCACGAGAATGGTCATCGACAATAGTGAGAAAATAATGTGCACCAGTAGCTAAACAAGGGGTGTAGGGACCCCATAAATCACAATGAATTAGATCAAAAACACTTGTAGCTTTATTGGAACTAATAGGAAAGGAGCTACGAACTTGTTTGGATTGGAAACAAATTTCACATGATTGTAATAATTTAAGTTTAGAGCTACTGGCAGAAGGAATAAGAGATGACAAAACTTGAACAGATGGATGCCCCAAGCGTTTATGAAGGAGAGAAGGATCCAATTGGGTAGCAAATGCTGTAGAACATGGACGAAACAGGAAAACTCCATTGTGTGCATCACCCCGTCCAATCTCCATCTTCGTGACACAATCCTGTATGACACAACAGTTTTTGTTAAAAATAACAAGACAAGAGGTATCTCGAATAAGACAACCAACAGAAATAAGATTGCACTGCAGATGAGGAACAAGCAAAACGTCCCGAAGCACTACTTCGGGTGAGAGCCGCACACGGCCACATCGAGTGGCTGTAGTCTGTGTGCCATTGGGCAACGTGATGACACAGGGGGCCATGGGAACCACATCAGCTAAAAAAGAGATATTACCAGTCATGTGATGAGAGGCGCCACTGTCAATAAGCCACTCACGAGCCGATGCCTCACCATTAGACCCAGTATCCTTGTCGGAAGAAGAGACGTCGAGCATGGAAAGTAACCGAGTCATTTGATCAGGTGTGAGGCCTAGGGCGTTGGAATTGGTGGCTGCATTTGCTCCCCCTGTTGCCGATCCTATCCCTCGGCCAGACCCACGGCCAGGGGCGCTACTGCCGCCGGACGGCGTTCTGCCACCGCCGTGACTCCCTCGGCCGGATGCAGTGCCGCGACATCCACGGCCCTTCCCGGGCGGATAACCATGCAATTGATAGCACTGATCCACGGAATGGCCGTCTTTTCCACAATGTGTGCACGAATAATGGGGGGGTCTCCACGACCCAAGGTAGGAGCGGGACGCTGCATGGCAAAGGCGAGAGCGTCCGTACGGTCATCTCGGCCACGGACAATGCTCTTATGCCGTTCCTCTTGAACGATGAGTGCATAAGCCCGGTGTATGTCCGGAACAGGTTCGGTGGCAATAATCTGAGATCGGATGTGACCGAACTATTTGTCGTCGAGCCCGAGCAAAAAATGATGAGTCTTCTCCTGTTCCTTGCGCGCCCGAATCAAAGCCGCAGCCTCACACCGGCAACCACACGTTGGATCAACAGATCCATATAGCTTGTTCCACAAAGTCACAAATTGGTTATAGTAGACAACCACAGTTTGTCCCTTTTGACGCAAAGATTGAAACTCAGATTTCAATTGGTGAATACGAGGTCCATTGGAACCTCCATATCTGGTCTTCAGATCT